TAAAAGCATTTAAAAAAAAAAAGTTTACCAAATACTCAACAATTTTTGTTTTACAGTTGCTTATTTACACAGCACACAGAAACATTTTTTTTTTTAATTACAACAATACCAAACTAGTCCTTAGAACAATAATAATATGGGTAATTTTGAGATAGTACTAAACCACATACCGACATTTATTTATTTTTAATTACGAACGATATTCAACACTAATGGAAGAAAGAGTTCTAAATTACATAGTCTAGCATCTAGGTTTTTCTTAGTAGAACTTGATTCACTAAATTGTCTAAATTTTTGTATGAAGAACCATTTGGCCCCGTAGCTTCTTTTGCAAGTTTCTTCCACTCCATGACCTTATTTTTCAACTTCTTACCCTTCTCTCCCTCCATTAACTCCTTGACAAGCTTCTCTACTTCATCCCTCTTCACATCATTACTAATCTCCATCCCAATGCCCCATTCATTGCAAGTATAGTGGCAGTTCATTTGCTGGTCGCAAAAGTATGGCCAACAGAGCATAGGCACTCCTGCAGTCAGGCTCTCAATTGTTGAATTCCAACCGCTGTGAGTTAAAAATCCTCCTACTGATGGGTGGTTCAGGACTTGCTCTTGTGGGCACCAACTTGCTATTAGACTTCTTTCTTTTGTTTCGGCAACAAACTCAGGCTGCAAAATTGCGGATTCACCAACTACAAGATCAGGCCTAATTACCCAAAAAAAGGGCAATTTACTATTTGCAAGTCCCCAACCAAACTCGACAAGATCTTCAGGCTTCATGACTGCTACACTGCCAAAATTTATATACATGACAGAATCGGGCGCCTTAGCATTTAGCCACTCAAGGCATTCAGTTTCTTCTTTCCACAGACTGTATCCAATATTCAATGGGTGCTCTGGTACCTGGTTGAGATGTAATTGAAGAGGGCCAATGGGATAAACAAGTGGAAGCATGGATGAGAGCGCATCCAACACATCTGTCTCCAAGGCATCAAAAGTATGAATAACAATTGCTGAAGCTTCATGAGCTCTATCGGTTCCTTCCATCTTGAAGTTAAATGCGATGTCATCGGGATTTGTGGTTCGGAAAAGGGTCGGGAGATCCTTTAGACGGATATCTTTCATTCCTGGAATCCAGTCTATAACTGTTTCCAGATATCCATTTGTCAAACAGCTCTCATCTACAACAAGAAATTTCATTTGCATTTTTAGAAAATAAGCAAGAGTTAACCACAAATTAAGCAATTGCTTCAACATTTATATATATATATTTCACCTTTGAGTGGTGCAAGTCCTTTTTGAACCAAAGTGCGAAATTGCATAAAGCCCATGAAAGCGCACGCTGCAAAAGTGTAGAGCAGCACTGAAGGGACTCCAACCTCTTGTGCAGCTGTGATTGTGAATGGGGACAAGAAACCATCTGAAACTATGCAAGTCACTGGTGGATTGTTGGATGTTGATATGGCATCATTGTTGAGTTTATTGAGGAGGCCACGAAAGGGGGCCAAGAAATACTGCTTTCTAATAGAGTCAGCAAGCAAAATGAGATCTTGGGTGGCATCTTCATCTGAATCTGGAAGGCCATCTGGGACGGCTTCGAACCGGAAATCAGGCAAGCCATCTAGGGAGTCAGGTCCTAGAGATTTAAGAAACCGCTTGTGATTGAACTCCGTGTTGACAAAGGTAATATGAAAACCTCTACTGTGCAGGAGTTTTGCGAATTTAAGCATTGCCTTGATATGGCTTTGAGTCGGAATTGGAATGCAGACAGCGTGAGGCTTAGTAACTACTGCTGTGGCATCCATTTTAGATTCTGTGGCATCCATTTTAGATAATGTGTCTGCATTGCAGTGCAGTGCAGATTATTTATACTACTGCTGTGCTAGTAGTGAGCTACTTTTCAACATATATGTGGTTCAAGTTGAATGATAGATTTTCAACATATATATGTGGTTCAAGTTGAATGATAAACACACTCTTTATCTCCTTTTGCACATCTTGTTAAATCATTTCTGTTATTTTGTTTGATTTATTCAACCTAATGACAAAAAATAAAGAGGAGTATGTGAGAGACTAAAAATGGTGTGTGAAAATCAACTCTCATTGCTAAAACTTTTTGTAATCATCTTAATTTTCATTGGTTATATGTGAATTAGTTCTTCAAGTACTTAGAGAGCGGTTGTTGCTATGTAGAGAGCCAGCTAACATTGTATTCCATTGCCAGCAGTAAACCTATTTCTTCTTAACCCTTCTCTAAGCACTGCTGACTAGGCCCGTTCGGTCAATTTCCGCAAGTAGTTGGCCTGTTTTCATGGTTTTTGGCTTTTTATTATTTTTCATTCTTCTAAATTTTATTGTTTTTAGTTCCTCCTACTACTAGTTTGCTTATATACTTTCTCTAAGCTTCAAAACCACGAAGTGGCATAATATCGTTGCTTCTTTATTTTCATATTCAAGAACTTCATTCAAGGTCTTTTGCTAGAAGTTGTGTTAGTTAGATCGAACTATTTGAAATGTTTTCATAGATTATATATATATATATATATATATATATATATATATATTATATTATATATACTAAAACTGAGTTTCAGTTACTGTTCATTAACAGTAAAATGGCGAAATTGCCCTTAAAAATTTTCATTTGTTCGTTATCTTTCCTGCTTTCCACAGTTAAATGACGGTTGTGCCCTTCACTTCCATGCATCTCTCATCGCCGTTTTCTGCTTTCTCTTCGTTTTTCAGTTCCTTTTGACTGCTTTCAATCGATTTTTTTCCCCATTACGTTTGGTTCTCTTCTTTTCCACCCGTCTGCTCTCTCTTCCTCTCTCTTCTAGATTTAGCTATTTTCCCCTATCGTCTGCTCTCTCTTCCTCTCTCTTCCGGATTTAGCTATTTTCCCCTATTTTGTGTCTTTTGGCTGATTTTGTGAGTTATTTGGTTTTCTTGCCACATGGGATTTCAATATTTTTTTTTTTCGTGGTTTATGTGTGGTTCTTTGATGTGTTTTGATTTTTTATTTCAGAAAAAGTTAAGGATACGATCAAACGTTTAATGGTGAGTTTTCTATTTTTCTGATTGTGTGTGATTTAATTTTTTTCAAGCACTGGGTGTACTTTTCTGATGTGCTTTGATTTTTAGTTGCAACAAAAGTTGTTGCTTGAATTTCCAGTTTTTCTCTAAAGCTTTGCAAGCTCTTTGTCATCAAGGTATATAATTTTTTTTCTTTTTCCTGAATATTTTGTTGCTGTTTTTTTTTTTTTTTTTTTTTTTCGGCGGAGGGACTATGTTTTGTTTGCAGATGAGTTTTTTGTGGTTTTTGTTTGGTTATTTCAGTTTTGACCATTTGCATATAATTTTTCTCAATAAATGATAAAAGAAAGAGATTATCATGACTAGCTTGCTTCTTTTGGGTTGCTAAATATTAGATGCACTGGTAAGGCAAAAACATCTAGAAAAAGGATATGGATCCTCTCCGGATCCCCTCTTTGGGGATTCCGAAGATCAAGGCATAAGGATCGTTCATTAAAGATTGTGCGGTCACAATTAAATATTTTTTATATTTTTAAAAGTAAAGTAATCTCGTTTTACATAAAAAATATTTAATTATGGTTGCACGATCTTTGATGAATGGTTCTTGTATCTTGATCTCCGAGATTTAGGGATCCGGAGAGGATCCAAATCCCTAATAAAATGTGAGTCAAACCCCATGTGGCACGACTAGTCTATCTTTTAGTCCAGAAAAGATAAAATAATGATAAAAAAATTGGTGGCAGGACAAAAAAATATGATAAAGCAACTAATGGCAGGAAAATTTGATGGCAGGACCAAAAAAATATTAAAAAAAATGTAATAAAGCAACTGATGGTAAGGCAAAACAATCTTCAAAATGTGAGTTAAACCCGGGCACGACAAGTCTTTCGTAAGGCAACGGCGTGGCACGACAAGTCTTTCTTTTTAGTCAGAAAAAGATAAAATAATAAAAAAAATTGGTGGCAGGACAACAAAAAATATTTAAAAATGTTCAACAATGGAAGGCTATTTTCGTGCGTCGCGGTGCCAATGAAGCGGCACACAGATTGGCTCCCGGCGGCCTTAGTCTGTCACAACCGGTTTTATGGTTGGAAGAACCGTCTGATGTAATTTTTGATCTTTTTTGAAAGATATTTTTAATGCTTAATTTTGTTTGGTGCGAGACTTTTTTTCTTTTCATTCAGGTATTTCTGGAAATTTTTTTATCAAGGCCCATTGTTATTGTTAGCACCTTTTCCATTGATTGTATGGAAATATCGTACTTGTTTTTTATACAAAAAAAAAAAAAGCAATGTGATAAAGCAATGTATGTTTGTAAGCTCTTCTCTTTTCTTTCCTGCACGTTTACTGTCTTATTTCCCTTCTTTTTGCTTTCGGCTTCTGCTTTTTCTCCTATTTTTCTTTCATTTTTAGCTTCCTTTTTTTTTTTTTTTTTTGCCTGTTGATCAATGCTGTTTTTTCTACAGCTTCAACCAAAAAACTTTTGTTAAAGGATGTTGGCATGTGTTATCCAAAACAAATAAGTATTGATTCACAATTTTTTGTGTATAAATCGTTGATCCTAATATGAATTCTTCATTCTTTTTATGTATATAAATAATGGGCTCTTTAGGATCACTGTCAAGGAGGAATACTAGATTAACCATTTTTGTATACTGATGATAAGGCATTTTATAATGTCTATTCTGTAAATTATATTAACTTAGACAGCTTTGTAAAATATATTAACTTAGACAGCTTTGTAAAAATATTTGTTTCATTTTCTGTTTAGTATTTATAACACTCTTTGCATATTTATATGTTAAAAACATAATCTATAGTCATATTTTCGCTCCCGTAACGACGTGCGGGTAAAATTTACTTAGTGTGTGTGTGTGTGTGTGTGTGTATATGAGCAACAATGCGCTAGTTCTTCTATTCGTGTTGATATTTTTGGACTTTTAATCAAAATTTTCTATGACAAATAAGATCAATTTAATTAAAAATAGTAACTGAATAAAACTGAAGATGTAGTAGCAGGCCAAACATGTTGCTAGTTCTTTTGAACCGATAACTGTGAGGCATGCAATACATGTCTCTCATTAGTTCCAATGCACAGCATCTAGATCTTTTTAAACTGAATTTGATTCACTAATTTTTCGAAGTTTGCAGATGAAGAACCCTGTGGACCAGTGGCTTCCTCTGCCAATTGTTTCCACTCCATGGCCTTATTCTTCATTCGCGTACCCTTCTCTCCCTCCATTAACTCTCTAACAAGTTTCTCAACATCATCTCTCTTGACAACATTATTGATCTCCATACCAATGCCCCATCTTTTGCAAGTATAGTGACAGTTCGTCGGCTGATCAGCAAAGAACGGCCAACACAGCATAGGCACTCCTGCAGACACACTTTCCAGCGTAGAATTCCAACCAGTGTGTGTCAAAAATCCTCCAACTGATGGATGGTTGAGGACTAGCTCTTGAGGGCACCAACTCGCTATTAGACTTCTCCCCTTAGTTTCATCCACAAACTCGGGTGGCAAAATTGCTGATTTACCAACTACCAAGTCAGGCCTAATTACCCAGAAGAAAGAAACCTTGCTATTTGCAAGCCCACAACCAAATTCCACAAGTTGTTCCGGGGTCATGACCGTTATGCTGCCGAAATTCACATAAACAACTGAGTTTGGTGCCTTATCGTTCAGCCATTCAAGGCACTCAGTTTCTTCTTTCCATAGGCTATATCCCAGGGACTTCAAAGGGTGTTGTGGTATCTGATTGAGAAGTAACTGGAAAGGGCCAACGGTGTAAACAGGTGGAGACATAGATGAGAGAGCGTCCAAAACATCTAGCTCCAATGCATCAAAGGTATGTATAACAATTGCTGAAGCTTCATTTAGTCTGCCCATTCCTTCAAGTATGAAATTCCAGATTGCATCATTGGGATTTGTTGTTACAAAGTTGTTAGGAAGATCCCTTAAACGAATACTTTCCATTCCTGGTATCCAATCTACCTCTTGGTCTAAAAAGCCATTCGTGAGGCACCTCTCATCTACAAACAGCCAAGTAATGCTTTATTAATAAAAAGTATCTTCATTTGCTTGATTAACAAATACAAACTCTCTCATGGCCAATGCAACAATTGTCGTTCATGAACTTTGAAATTAGGACGTCTCCAACAAATTCGAAATTGGGTGCTACTAGATTAATTGGCCATTAGCAACACCGTTGTTGATTAATTTAAAAAAAAATAGAACTAATAACCAAATTGTGAAGCTATTATTAACACTTCAAAAAGAAACCATGCCTTTTTCCCTCTTTTTATTTTTTTGGGTAATTACTTATGCTAATTACCACTTTTTCTCACACTGAGTTGGTTGAATAAATCAAAAGCATAATCAAGTAACAAAAATAAGCATGGTGAAATTATTTCCCTTATTTTTTCACTAGGAAGGAGTGTAAGATGAATTTTTGTAGATTGAATAAAAGTTTCCTAAATTTGACCAAAAATAAATAAATATTAGTTTCCTAAAATCAAACAATTGCTTTAATTCTTTACCTTTGAGGGGTGCTAGTCCTCTTTCCACCAAAGCAGGATACTGCATATAGCCCATGGTGCCGCTTGCTGAAAAAGTAAAGACGAGTGTGACGGGGATGCCAAATTGTTGAGCTGCAGGGGTTGTGAATGGCATGAAACCATCTGAAAAAATGCATGTCACTGGAGGAGTACTACTACTACTGTTGAGTTTCTTTATCAGATCAACAAAAGGTGCCAAGAAGTTGTTTGTGACTGAATCTGCAAGCAAACTGAGGTCTTGGGTGGCATCTTCGTCCGAATCCGGTAGGCCATCAGGGATCGTTTCAAACCGAAAATCATCAGGCAAGCCATCGAGGGACTCGGGTCCTAGAGATTTAACTAACCGCCTGTGATTGAACTCGGTGTTGACATAGGTTATACGAAAACCTTTATGGTGGAGGAGTTTTGCTAATTGAAGCAATGCCTTTATGTGACCTTGAATCGGAACTGGAATACAGACAGCATGAGGCTTGTTAGAACACATCTCAGATTTGTGGATCTCAGAGTGTATGCTTACTGTATGAGGGTATTTTAACATCAAACGTGTATGGATCTATAAATTTTTGGTCTGTCTTGAGACAATGAGTGGTGCAAACTTAAGAAGAAGTAAGGGCCGGATGTCAATAATTTTGGCAGTGCCGATAAAATTCACAGGGTGAAGACAAAGCTAAATCAAAAGAACAAACTAAAAATGTCATGAAATGGAAAGCTAGGGCCCCCCTCCCCTCCCCTCCCTCTTCTTGCAAGATAACATTTAAGTGGCAAACCAGCATCACCTATGGCCTAGTTCCCGAAATAGAAACTAGGTGCCCCCACCCTCTCTTTCAAGACAACATTTAAGTGGCAAAGAGCATCACGTATTGAGTACTATGGCCTAGTTCCCATAACTCTACCCTAATAAGTTTTGCATTTCGTTTTGCATTTCCCTTCATTTGTAGAGGACTCTCACTAGCTATGTCTCAATTCTTAATGCGATTTCTTGTTTTCAAAATAATGATGAACATGGGAACATTTTTTTTTCTTTTTAAATTACCATTATGAAGGAGAGGAGAAGAGTTAGTAACTATACAATAATTTAAAGGAGGAAAGTTTCGAACCCGGAAAAGTTAGAAACCCAACACCTGTTAGGATTTTGGCTCGTCAATTATGTCCTAATTGGTTTAGGATTGTTTTAGGAAAATTAGAGGTATAACAATTCTTGTCCTAGAGAGGTTAGGAAAGAATTTCAGTGATTGTGACTAGAAGTTCCAATGATTTTCGTTAGAATTTCTTATATTTATTCAGCCAATTAATGTGGTTGGAAATCTGAGTATATGTGTGAAAATCATGATAGTAATTCGTTGAATTATTTATTTTGAGCTTGAATAAAATCGTAAACTGAGATTATGATTTTATTCACCATAAATGGAACAGTGAGATTAGTTTTAAATCCCCTTTCGTTATTCGATGGTTGGAAATCTCGAGGACGAGATTTATTTTAATGGGGGTCAAATGTAATACCTTGAAAAATTGAAAATATATGAATATGTGGAGTAAATCGAGAATAAATAGATTTATGGTTATGGAAAATTGATTAGAGAAATTTTAGAATTTTGTTTCCAGAATTTATTATAATTTACATTGAAAAATTTAGCGATAAGTGGAAAAGACGAAAATGCCCTAGTTGACTAAATGTAATTTTACGAGAACGTATTTTATCCTCATGTAATTTAAATTATTTCTTGATAAAATTGGATAGAGCTCAGTCCTACGAGCGTGTAGATGCAAACCATTCGACAAACGAAGTTATAATGAATGAGTTATTAACGTTCAAAGTTAAGGACATTTTGGTAATTGTCCTTCAATCTAGAAGGCTCCATATTTTCTGGAGCAATGAAATGTGCCACATGTGTGGCTAGGATGAAAGGAAAATAAGAAAAATGAGAGAGATGGATGGCTGAGATAGAAAGAGGAGGAGAGAAATGTGGTGGGGAACTAGCCAATAAGGGAGGAGGGGGAAATGAGGGAAAGGATGGGGGAAAGAAAACACCCAATCCAAATCCCATTTCTGACCCGCATGACCGACCCGTTTCATCCACGTTTTCCGACAGCTTTTTCACTGTTTCTTCAGCGAAGCAAGGCGATCCACCATATGTATAGAGCTCGACGACTTTCCAGCTTGTATCTCCACCCAGATTTGATGGGTTTTGGTTCTCGTTTCACTGAGATCGAGCTTGTTGGGTTTCCTGTGTACACGACGGCGATTCTGCCGTTCCTGCAGCTACCTTCCTTGACCACCACTACCAAACTATTCCTCTTGAGGCCAGGAACAAAGCCCAAACAAGTTTGGGAGCGGTGGAACACCGGAAAAGACGAATCGAAGCACATCCAATTCTAGGGTTCCGGAGGTTCGTGGGCAGTTTCAGGCGTTTTCTGGCTGATTTAGACGTCGACCCAAGTATGAAAAATGTTCATCTTCTTGAGTTGTACATTCCTGCAAAATTTGGTAATTTTTGGAAATAGTTAGGTTTCCGGTGAGTCAGGGCGGCCGACCGCCACCCGTGGTGGCGCTTGGCTAGTGGGCCGATGCTGTCTTTTCATACAGATTTGATATTTTAAATCCGTAGTTGGTACCTATTTGGTGTGGTTTGATTGTGAAAACTAATGTTGAATATTTTCGTTATTAGAGTGTTTTCGGAAATGGATAAAAAGATGAATGGTGAACTACGAAATGTTTGATCCCACTCAAGGGTACATAGGCAGTCTAACAGGGTTAGATACAACCTTAAGTAATTGAGATAAATCTTTTTGTTGGGAATTTGAATTAAGAAAAGAAATTTGGTGATTAATTGTAAAATTAAATCTTATGTTTTGGTAATTAAATTTTGGTTATAGATTGTGTGAGTGATTAATAAATTTAGATGAAGAATTGTGATTAATGGTAGTAAATAAACCAGAGTTTAATTTGGCCTATCACAAAATTTATATCCCGAAACAAATGTTTCAGAGCGGGGCGTTACAGTAACGCTAAAGGTCCCACATAGAAAGGAGGACTAGAAGCTATTAATATGGGAATGCCTCAACGCCGGGATCGTACACCTCGTTCAAATGTCCTGTAGGGGGTGCAAAACAAAGATGTGTGGATTGGAGTTTATAAGTAAGTCAAAACCACTTTTCTTTGTACATACTAATCCCCTATTTTAGAAAACTCATATAGTAGTATGTAATAGGTTGTCTGAAAACTCTAGCATGCCATAAAAATATTCGTAGCTCCTATAACAATTTACTTAAATAGTGGTATCATAGTCACCCAAAGGCAAATCCATACGATACTGGGATACGCCAGTGAAGAAATATGGTAGGCCCTATCACCTGAATGTGAAGCTATACGACAGTCGGTTGCACCATTGAAGAAAACATATATCACACTGCCACTAACCTTGACTAGTGAAGCTGTCCGACACTGATTTTGCCAGTGAAGCTAGGAGTATATCATGAAGTACCTTGATAAGCGTAAAACTGAGTCATATGGCCATAGACAGGTACATACTCGTCTAGTATGTATGTGTTGTATAATTACCAACTAAGTAAGCACATAGATTAAGCATGAACACATTCTTTCGTACGATAACATAAGAGTTCAATAGCTCAAACATCATATCATAAAACCATGGGAGCGTTCTAGCTTAAAGCATCATGTAATCATAATAAATCATAAAATGTAAAATCATTAAACCATAAACATCTCTTAAAACGTAAATTCAATAAATTATAAACATTTCATAAAATGTAAACTTATGAAATCATGCTTTTCTCATATGAAGGTGAATTACGAATGGCGTGATCCTATCTAAGGGTACGTAGGCACTCTAACACAAAGGTTAGATGCAGCCATAAAGTAAACAAAAAGTTACTATGCTAGTGGATCTTGAGTTGTATTTTGTTCATGCTTCGGAGGCGAGGCATGATAGATGTAGAGGTACATGATGACAACACATGTCAATCCTAGACGTATCTTGGAATGGGGGGCGTGACAAAAACTGTTAGGAAGATACCTTAAACGAATATTTTTCATTCCTGGAATCCAATCTATTACCTTGTCTGGAAATCCATTTGTGAAACAACTCTCATCTGCAAAACTAGCAGCCATATTATGATACTCCTTTTTTTTTTTTTTTTTTTTTTTGATAAATTATTTCCATAGAAAGGAAGAAGTTTTATTATAAAAGTTAATTACAAGACAAAGGTCCCCAAACAAATATTAACAAGACAAAAAGGGGCCACCTAAACTATCTTATAAAAGCCCAACCCAAAACCCAAATTTTGATACAGAGCTCCTAAACGTAGAGATGAACCAAAACTGATTTCCCAAATCAACACCACAACTCCCACCAAACAGCATTGTAAAGACAAAGTGAAGTGATACTTTGTCTCCCAGCCACGAACGCCACACCGGTCTCGGCCATAATATGCTTTAGCCATATTATGATACTTTAGTATTATTGCTGCTCACGATGAATGTTTATGATGTGTACATTTTATAGGTTAAGTCGATGAGTTCTACAAGAACTCCTTGCACAAGAATTTTGGCATGCTATTTATAATAAATTAATTATGGATTGCAATAAATAAAAACAAGTTAACAACTAACAAGGTGAAAGCCGTCCAATTAATCAGACGGTCTTCCTCAAATTTCTCACATCTGAGCATAAGTACTTCAAAGTACAGATTTCGAACGGACTTTTATTTCTCGAACTTTTTATTTTTCATTACACCCGTTCAAAATGTACAATAAAAAACAGGCCCTTGGCCTGCCGATCAAACCCAAGCTTTCAACACAAGTGAAAGAGTGTCGAACACAGAACTGCCCAAGTCAAATCCATTTCGGCCTAGCAGGCTGCTAAAGCATTAACAAACCATTGGACCAAGTCCCCATAATTCTACTCTAAGAAGTTTTGCGTTGCCCTTCATTTGTGGAGGACCGTCACCCTCACTAGTTATGCCTCAATTCTTAGTGTGGTTTCTTGTTTTCAAAAGAATGATGACCACGAACAATTTTTTAAAGAAAAGTTATAAAAATGGTTCCGAACTATTTCAATAATTTAGAGGAGAAGAAAATTTTGAATTCAAAATGCATGTGCAGAAACCTAACATCTTATCTACTAAGATATTAAACTAAATACATGATTATGAGACATAACAATTTTTATGTTGCTCATAATTTTACAGGCTTGGAAGCTTTTGCCCATGTCTCCCCTATTTTCTATGCATTTTAGGACAGCATTTGTAGATAACTCAGTAGATTATAATTGCACAAGCCAAAAGAGTGAGGGTAAGTATTGAATAATAATTAAGTTGTCGTTTGGGTTAGCCCAAATGGTGAAGTTGAGTGAGACGTGAACGTTTGGCTAATTAATCACATTCGACTTCGACATGTGATGCAAATTAAGCATTTTCCATCATTTCATTGTTGTCACAAACCCTAGTGATCTACCTAAGATCACATATCTTGATCAAACGTCAAAATATGACTTAAACAACCTCTAATTAGATCCTTAAACCCCCAATTAAGATAGCTATAGTACGTACTTCAAGTATTGCTTCAACATGTGAGATTTTCGATTGATTAACTAGTTTGGCATAGTCATGTACATTCAACTTTGACCTAATCTTGTCACGCTCAAACCTAATTAATTATGGTCTAATCATACAATCCTAAGTATTTTCTGGTAACATGATAGCACCCA